GTGCTGGCCCGTCCAGGAGGCTGCTCTTGCCCATGCCAAAACGTGCCAGACCCTGGCGTTGAAGCTCAAACAAAGGTCGACTTGAAAACAGGCCCAAAATGGCCAGTGCTAAAACCCTGGTCTGGTGCCTAAGTTTCAGGGCAGGTCGATCTTATGAGGGCCTGAAAATGGCCGTCCGTTTCAGGCTGAAAAGACTCAGGGCCTGGAGGGCCCTGTTTTAGGCTGAACAACACAGGGCCTGTAGGCCCTTGTTTTCAGACTTTCAGGCTGAAAACAACACGGGCCTGAAAATGGCCCGTGCAGCCTGTTGCAGGCGCAGCATGTAACACGTAAACCGGAATGGTGGCGCGAATAAATCGTCTCCCCAAAAAAGTATCCCATAGTCCCTCCGATGCAATGTCTGAATCTGGGCAATCGCCCAATGTCACAAGTCTCAACTTTCATAATCTCTCTCTCTCTCTCTCTCTCTCTCTCTCTCTCTCTCTCTCTCTCTCTCTTAGAAGAGGCATGGGAGGGAGGAAGGATGAAGGAGAAGCAATGGAGATTGAGGGAGAGAAGAAGGAAAAGAAGGATACTCCCAACCTCTCTGTAGTGGAGCCAGATACTGACCAGAGTAAAGGTGTTGCCTTGGAGCTATGATGCAGGTGGGAGCACCCTGAAGACGAGCCGAGCTATGTGCAATGGCTTGCTGATTTCCGCTGCCGAGATCTGTCTGGGAGGTTGAACATTTGTGTCCTAGAGTCAGATTCGTAATTTTGTTTGTGTCAGGGACTAACCGTGAGTTCAGTCCGAGGGAAATTCAGGAGGGACAGATCTGTAAATCTGGGAAAATTACACTCCCAGTAGTACCACAAATTTCCTCTAGTACCCTCACAGCCTCTAGCGGTACCGGGCTATCCCTAGGACAGCAGGCCCAGCGGGCCTTGGGCTGTAGCAACGGTCTCTCGCCGTATAGCCGGATAGGGTCCAGGCCGAACAGGCCAACTGAAATGATACCGGTCCCAGTAGGTCTAGGTCTAGAGTAGCCTAGTTTCTTAATAGGACTGAGCCGGTAGTTTAGGGACTTTTGGTTGTTCATTTTGGCGACACAGCGTTTGGAGCCAAGGAAGTTTGGTGGAGGTGATGGCCTGCGGGCGGCATCCTGAAACCCTCGCCATGTTGTGGCAGCCATAGCCAGCCTTCTGGAGGTTGCCATAGCTGGGCATCCTCAGAGCATCTCCCCTGAGGGTATCTGCATCTGGCGGGGCTATGCTGAGGCTCTTCATTGAGTATTCGTGGGTGGACCACTGTTGCCCATCTCCCCTCTGGAGTTGTCAGGGCTTCATCAGTGGTAACTGCCAGCTTTTGTCAGAGTGTTCATCGATGCTGAAGGCTTCATCGCAGCACCTCTTCTCCATCTGGGCGGTTGGCGCTGGCCTCTGGGAGGCCATTTCAGGGTTGCGCTACTAACTGGGTGTAGGGTAGAGAGTGGTGTGTGGAGTTCTGAGGGTGGCGAGATATTGAAACAAACTCTGTATTTGAGTTGGCTCATCATCAGTGTGAATCCTATTGTTATCCTCGCAGGTTGTGATTGGTTGTTGGGAGTTTTGTCAGAGAGAGAGAGAAACACTGTGTGTCCTCTCCACACCTGTGCATGGTTATGTTCTGCTGCCTATTCTCATCTATGTACAGTGTGTACTCTGTCTCCTCTCCCCTTCTTCTTATGCATGTATGGGCGTGTATGAGACTGTCTGTGTGTGAGTGGCGGTGAAAATCGTCAGGCAACCAAGTTCATAACATATGGCTCCAGGTAAGTCCTGCTTGTGAGACCCTAACCCCAGGCCTCCACCCTCAACCACCTACTATACCGTGCCTACTCTACTCCAGACAAAGCTGCCCAGCTGCGTAGTGACCGAAACCTACGAATACTGCATACTGGGAATACGAATGGCCCAGCTGTGTCCGCCCACGTCCTGGATCGTCTGATTGGAATGCCGATCAACGGTCCAGGAGGCAGCCCTGAAACTTGGTCCTGCCCAAAACGTGCTGGACCTAGAACAACGTGGTCCAGCCCAGGGAAAATGTGCCTGGTCTAAAACGCAGCCGCCGAGCCCCAATCGGCCCAGAATGCTGAAGCGGTGCACTCAGACATTACCAGTCCGAACAAAGGAGACATCCAGATCGGACAAACCCTAATCAAACATAAGACGTAAGAAGGCAACAAAACCTCAGAACAGAATAAAACTGAGAAATCAATAAAAATTATGAAAAATAAATATCAGAAAAATGCAGACGACCCAAAGAAATGGAAAAGAACACGCCCAAGCTACTCCTAATGCCCCCTACAAGGATGGGGTCATGACAGGGCCCGTGTGGGAGCCGTGCATACAACAAAGGGAGTGCTGGGTAATACAATTGATTGCCCTTTACTCAATACTTCCATGAGAGTTTCATAAATAGATCAGCATTACATGGGAGGTGGAACCAGACAGACATTGAAGAAAAGAGAGAGAGAGAGAGAGAGAGAGAGAGAGAGAGAGAGAGAGAGAGAGAGAGAGAGAGAGAGAGAGAGAGAGAGAGAGAGAGAGAGA